AGAGAGATCAGGGAACACAAAGACAGGCAGAAAAAACTGTCCACGCGAACCGAGGGCAAGAGAAAAACACACCACACAGCACACTCAGAAGCACACCACGCAGCATACATAACTCAAAACCAGACACCGATCTCAAAAAACTGTACGCTTCCCTCAACATGTTTCATTCCAGGCGTACACTGGAAATCGTCAGGAGGAATACTGTGAGATTGTGCCCAGAATCTCACTCTAATATACCAACCCATCCGTACCCTCGCAACCCTTTCTTCCTCTTCTTCCAGTCCTTCATTGCTGAATCCTTCCGCCACCCGCCCAAATCCCCGCTGCTAACTCCTGTATGCATTTTCATGACTAACTTACGATGAGACTGCTGCACCCTGCTATGCCTGGCTGCGTTATATCAGTTGTTTGATTGTCGCGTGTACGCGATCCTGCCAAGGACGTTTGATCTCCTGGTGCAACGCGCACTCGATGTCTCCCGAAGAAACGTTCAGCAGCTCACATATCATCTTCTGAGTTCACCTCTCTTAAACCACCACTCTACCTGACGTAGGAAATTCGGGGGACCGGTAACACAGGTTCATGAGGCTACCGGTAGCATAGTGTGGAGGGCCGGCACAGCGGTGATGATGGAAAATGCGATGAATTGCCGCCACGACCTATTTCGTGGTTGAAACAATTTTTCATGTTTTTTAATATTTTTTTCTGCAAAGATCACAATCAAATTTACAGACCGTCCAATTTTCAGATTGTTTTACATAGTCGTCTGAGCGTGAGTGTACTTTTTCCGTTGGCCACAAGTTGTGGAGTGGCAAAAAATGGAAAATGTTGCGAATTGGCGCGGCGTTTATTTCATGGCCTAAATTATGTTTTTTCCATGGCAACTGCGGACCCAGACTCGGATACGTCTGGACCGAGGCCCAGACGTTTGTCTGGACTGGTCCAGACGTCCGGTAATCCGGACAGGCACCGGACAACCGGACAGGACCGGACCCGGACCGTCCGGACTAGCGCACCAGACACAAAAAATGTCCGGACCGATTAAAAAAAAAAAAAAAAAAACATTAGTAATAAGCACTACTAACCACAGCTTACTGTCTTTCACTATTCACAAAGGCTCACACAACACTTGAAAGTTGAAACCAGTTCTCAACAGACCAATCCCAAGTCACTTCAGAAAAGAGTACGAAAATCAGAAAAAAACAGAACTTTGAGCTTTGAAGTTAGACTTTCTAATTGAACTTTTTTTTTTTTTTTTTTTTTTTTTTTTAGGACCCCATGTGCAAAACCTCCATCCTGGTGGTGGTAAGAGAACCACCAAGATTGAGGCTTTGCCTGGTGGGCCGCTCCATCTATTGGTGGGGAGCATCACCTGCTGGAAACCGGGTCCAGCGTCCCATGATACATCTTAAATAGCTCAATGAAAAGAGTGACGCCCTTGTGCTGGAAAGCGGGTCCAGTGTCCCATATCAAAATCATCACTTCCTTACCTATCCTGCAGCTGGGTCGGGGTTTGGAGGGGGGCACTGGGGGGCACCAGTGAAATCTCCCTCCATCCCTCAATCCCTGTCATCCACCCACTGTCCATAGGGCGCCTAGGAATGAGAATGCAGAAGGAATGTATCTCGAATGTATCTGCTGGAAACCGGGTCTAGCGCCCCTTTGATAGCACATTAACCCTTCTCAAGTCAATTAACCTGCAACCCCTTGCAGGTATTCCGATTACAAACCAGAGCAACAGCAACAGGAGATTATGAACTCAGCAAACATCTAACCGAAAATTATGAACAGCACAGAGACCCAGCCTTACACCCTGCTGAGTTTGCTTACAAAGGAGAGACAGAGAAACAATCTGCAGGCGATTATGAACCCAGCAGCCAGCACAAAAACAGCTGAAGAAACGGTCGTGAGCCAGGTAGCAAGGAGATCCAGCGTAGGGTCTGCTGAGTATGAGTATAACCCGGGTGATGTGTTCCTACTGGCGTCTCGGCTCATGCCACTGGTATAATTGCAGGTGCTAGTATTCTTCATACTGCTGTGCTTCCGCCAGGGACAACGGGTGGGGTGGGAAGGGGTCTGCGAAGTCGTGGGCTGGCCGTTGTGGGACGCCCGGGTCCACTTTAATCCAGTCATGGAAAATCAGCTGGTAATCCCTTGCCGTTCTCTCCGGGGGATCTTCACTCCGGTTGACTCCGGACCATTTTATCTCAGCCACCCATCCTTCCTTATCCCCCCCCAACCAGTCTTTGCTGAAACTGGAGATAATCTTGTTCATGTCCCCCCAGGTATATGAGTGATCAAGCTTATCTTTAGCTGTTCTCCATTGGGTTGCAATTTCATATTGAACCAATGTTCGTATTTGCTCCATAGCTTCTTCGTCTTCTACCTGCGCCCCCTCTATCTTTAGGATGCATCGCTTCCACCATATAGTCCATAAGACGCTCCGCCTACCCAGTTTGAACATATTTTCCACAAATGTATTTCCCGGGATTGGAGGGTGATATCCCAAGAGTATGGCCCTCCAGTTCCAAGGCCACGTCACACCGGGAGCAATGTGTCGCCAAATCCTATCCCAGCTTCTCCACAATAGCACTGACGCAGGGCGTTGGAGAAAAATATGTTCTATACTCTCCACCCGCCTCGTCCCAGGGAAGCTCTGAAGGCATTTGTGGCACCATGGTAGTGCTTTCCCTTGCTGTTCCAAACGAGTGTGGTCTATCAACCAGTCGTTGGTTGGTAGACACCTATGTTCAATTTGCCATTGGAGGGCCGAGATTTTGGCGGGTCTGCAATTATAGTGAGCAAACCATCGAATGGGCTTAAGCAGGCTACGGTCTATGTTAAGATGGCGATACCGTCTGTCTTTCACGCGGTCCCGCAGTCTGCATTTGGGTCTGAACATTCGGTAGGCAGATTTAGTTTTAGATTGAGTAGTGTCAGTATGTTGTCCTCTCCTTTCCTGGCCGGGTTACGTTGGTTCCATCGCCACTCTTCCGGATCTAGGGGGAGGTCCTCAAAGTCTCGAAAGAAAGTGTATTGCCCAAGACTGTCTAATTGAACTAATTCATATTCATATGAAAATTGAAAAGATCTGCGTAAGAAGTACTAAGAACAGATCTGAGATCTGGTCAGGACCAGATCTAAGACGGGATCTCAGATCTGACCAAAATCATCTCTCTCTCTCTCTCTCTCTCTCTCTCTCTCTCTCTCTCTCTCTCTCTCTCTCTCTCTCTCTCTCTCTCTCTCTCTTGATGTTCTGTGGTGCTTTGCAGCCAGCGCTTCATTTTTGGAATCAGACTCATCCTCATTCGATGCACTACCCGCGTAGTACAACAGCAGAGGGAGCTGTTGGAAGCGTCTGGCGGCGTCAGCCCTGAAACGGCCAAAAAATACTGGGGGCATTTTTTGGGGGCAGCCTAGGACCCGAAAAACGTCCTAGGCCCCCCAAAAAAAGATTTCAAAATTTTCAAAATTGGGCCCAATCCAGACCCACCGGACCAGACACCGGACCCATACCCAGACAACCAGACCGTCTGGATTCCGGTCCAGACGTCCGGCCGGTTGCCATGT